AGGGGCAGGGGCTGGGAAGGAGCAGGAGCTGGGCTGGGAAGGAGCAGGAGCAGGAGCTGGGAAGGAGCAGGAGCAGGAGAAGGAGCAGGAGCAGGAGAAGGAGCAGGAGCAGGAGAAGGAGCAGGAGCAGGAGAAGGAGCAGGAGCAGGAGAAGGAGCAGGAGCAGGAGAAGGAGCAGGAGCAGGAGAAGGAGCAGGAGCAGGAGAAGGAGCAGGAGCAGGAGAAGGAGCAGGAGCAGGAGAAGGAGCAGGAGCAGGAGAAGGAGCAGGAGCAGGAGAAGGAGCAGGAGCAGGAGAAGGAGCAGGAGCAGGAGAAGGAGCAGGAGCAGGAGAAGGAGCAGGAGCAGGAGAAGGAGCAGGAGCAGGAGAAGGAGCAGGAGCAGGAGAAGGAGCAGGAGCAGGAGAAGGAGCAGGAGCAGGAGAAGGAGCAGGAGCAGGAGAAGGAGCAGGAGCAGGAGAAGGAGCAGGAGCAGGAGAAGGAGCAGGAGCAGGAGAAGGAGCAGGAGCAGGAGAAGGAGCAGGAGCAGGAGAAGGAGCAGGAGCAGGAGAAGGAGCAGGAGCAGGAGAAGGAGCAGGAGCAGGAGAAGGAGCAGGAGCAGGAGAAGGAGCAGGAGCAGGAGAAGGAGCAGGAGCAGGAGAAGGAGCAGGAGCAGGAGAAGGAGCAGGAGCAGGAGAAGGAGCAGGAGCAGGAGAAGGAGCAGGAGCAGGAGAAGGAGCAGGAGCAGGAGAAGGAGCAGGAGCAGGAGAAGGAGCAGGAGCAGGAGAAGGAGCAGGAGCAGGAGAAGGAGCAGGAGCAGGAGAAGGAGCAGGAGCAGGAGAAGGAGCAGGAGCAGGAGAAGGAGCAGGAGCAGGAGAAGGAGCAGGAGCAGGAGAAGGAGCAGGAGCAGGAGAAGGAGCAGGAGCAGGAGAAGGAGCAGGAGCAGGAGAAGGAGCAGGAGCAGGAGAAGGAGCAGGAGCAGGAGAAGGAGCAGGAGCAGGAGAAGGAGCAGGAGCAGGAGAAGGAGCAGGAGCAGGAGAAGGAGCAGGAGCAGGAGAAGGAGCAGGAGCAGGAGAAGGAGCAGGAGCAGGAGAAGGAGCAGGAGCAGGAGAAGGAGCAGGAGCAGGAGAAGGAGCAGGAGCAGGAGAAGGAGCAGGAGCAGGAGAAGGAGCAGGAGCAGGAGAAGGAGCAGGAGCAGGAGAAGGAGCAGGAGCAGGAGAAGGAGCAGGAGCAGGAGAAGGAGCAGGAGCAGGAGAAGGAGCAGGAGCAGGAGAAGGAGCAGGAGCAGGAGAAGGAGCAGGAGCAGGAGAAGGAGCAGGAGCAGGAGAAGGAGCAGGAGCAGGAGAAGGAGCAGGAGCAGGAGAAGGAGCAGGAGCAGGAGAAGGAGCAGGAGCAGGAGAAGGAGCAGGAGCAGGAGAAGGAGCAGGAGCAGGAGAAGGAGCAGGAGCAGGAGAAGGAGCAGGAGCAGGAGAAGGAGCAGGAGCAGGAGAAGGAGCAGGAGCAGGAGAAGGAGCAGGAGCAGGAGAAGGAGCAGGAGCAGGAGAAGGAGCAGGAGCAGGAGAAGGAGCAGGAGCAGGAGAAGGAGCAGGAGCAGGAGAAGGAGCAGGAGCAGGAGAAGGAGCAGGAGCAGGAGAAGGAGCAGGAGCAGGAGAAGGAGCAGGAGCAGGAGAAGGAGCAGGAGCAGGAGAAGGAGCAGGAGCAGGAGAAGGAGCAGGAGCAGGAGAAGGAGCAGGAGCAGGAGAAGGAGCAGGAGCAGGAGAAGGAGCAGGAGCAGGAGAAGGAGCAGGAGCAGGAGAAGGAGCAGGAGCAGGAGAAGGAGCAGGAGCAGGAGAAGGAGCAGGAGCAGGAGAAGGAGCAGGAGCAGGAGAAGGAGCAGGAGCAGGAGAAGGAGCAGGAGCAGGAGAAGGAGCAGGAGCAGGAGAAGGAGCAGGAGCAGGAGAAGGAGCAGGAGCAGGAGAAGGAGCAGGAGCAGGAGAAGGAGCAGGAGCAGGAGAAGGAGCAGGAGCAGGAGAAGGAGCAGGAGCAGGAGAAGGAGCAGGAGCAGGAGAAGGAGCAGGAGCAGGAGAAGGAGCAGGAGCAGGAGAAGGAGCAGGAGCAGGAGAAGGAGCAGGAGCAGGAGAAGGAGCAGGAGCAGGAGAAGGAGCAGGAGCAGGAGAAGGAGCAGGAGCAGGAGAAGGAGCAGGAGCAGGAGAAGGAGCAGGAGCAGGAGAAGGAGCAGGAGCAGGAGAAGGAGCAGGAGCAGGAGAAGGAGCAGGAGCAGGAGAAGGAGCAGGAGCAGGAGAAGGAGCAGGAGCAGGAGAAGGAGCAGGAGCAGGAGAAGGAGCAGGAGCAGGAGAAGGAGCAGGAGCAGGAGAAGGAGCAGGAGCAGGAGAAGGAGCAGGAGCAGGAGAAGGAGCAGGAGCAGGAGAAGGAGCAGGAGCAGGAGAAGGAGCAGGAGCAGGAGAAGGAGCAGGAGCAGGAGAAGGAGCAGGAGCAGGAGAAGGAGCAGGAGCAGGAGAAGGAGCAGGAGCAGGAGAAGGAGCAGGAGCAGGAGAAGGAGCAGGAGCAGGAGAAGGAGCAGGAGCAGGAGAAGGAGCAGGAGCAGGAGAAGGAGCAGGAGCAGGAGAAGGAGCAGGAGCAGGAGAAGGAGCAGGAGCAGGAGAAGGAGCAGGAGCAGGAGAAGGAGCAGGAGCAGGAGAAGGAGCAGGAGCAGGAGAAGGAGCAGGAGCAGGAGAAGGAGCAGGAGCAGGAGAAGGAGCAGGAGCAGGAGAAGGAGCAGGAGCAGGAGAAGCCCCCCCCAACAACCTCCCAGGCAAAACCAGCCGCGTTTTTCTTCCCCCAACCCCCCCCGCCGGGCTGGCTTGGAACAAACTGCCGAGCTGGGCTTTTTTTTGGGGCTGTTTCCAGGTGTTTGAAGGTGCTGAGGTGCTCGGAGTGGAAGTTTTTCTGTGCCAGCTGGGGCAGGAGCAGCACAGGTCCCCGCGTCCTGCCCTCCAGGGCTTTTATTTTTAAACCTTATCTTTATTGCAGTTTTTCTCCTGCCCTGCTGGGAAAGGCAAAAAAAAAAACAAAACACTTTTTATCTGGCCTGGGGCTGGCAGCGTGACCTGCTCCCCTGGAGGGGGAGAGGGGGATGTGGCTCAGCAGGACCCTTCAGCATCTCTGGGGGTGCTGGAGGGGGATGCTGAGCCAGCCTGGCATCTTCCTCCCACCACCCCGTGGTGGGTGCTGGGTGGTTCTGCTGGGGAAGGGCAGTCCCTGCACCTCCGGGGTGTGTGATGGCTCTGGCCTCTGGCCAGGGGCTTTATTTCAGGTTTCTGACACAGCAGTGAAGTCAAGCTGAGCTGGGGACCAGCCCGTGGGTGCTGAGGATGGCTTAGGTGGCACCTGGAGCAGCTCCCAGCCCAGGGGTGCAGGAATGGGGAAGCAAAGGGAGAGGGAAGCCAGTCCCTGTGCCCACCCCAGGCCTGGTGGTAGGAAGGGTCAGGGGTCTTGGAGGGGCCCATGGAGCAGGTGGCAGCTCTGGGATGGTTCCCAGGTGCCATCTCTTTCTGGGGGGGATGTCCTAAGGAGCACCCAAGGGTGGCAGGCGTGGTTGATGGGGCTGTCCCTGCAAGTGCTCCCCAGTTAATGGTTAATGTGGCCGGGCAGTGGTGGTGGCACAGGCTCCCCCAGCCATCAGCACTGCCATCGGCCCTGGGAACAGCCTGTACCTTTGCTGTTTGTTTACATCCCGTCTGCTCCGCCCCGGCCTCCTGCCCAGCCTGTCCCCTGCCACCCCAGGGGTGGCTTTGAGGGTGACACTGTCACCTGCAGTGGCCCTGCTGGAGCTGAGATGGAAGAGATGAGGGTGGGAAAGGGCAGCACCCAGTGTCCCCTGCCACCCCAGGGGTGGCTTTGAGGGTGACACTGTCACCTGCAGTGGCCCTGCTGGAGCTGAGATGGAAGAGATGAGGGTGGGAAAGGGCAGCACCCAGTGTCCCCTGCCACCCCAGGGGTGGCTTTGAGGGTGACACTGTCACCTGCAGTGGCCCTGCTGGAGCTGAGATGGAAGAGATGAGGGTGGGAAAGGGCAGCACCCAGTGTCCCCTGCCACCCCAGGGGTGGCTTTGAGGGTGACACTGTCACCTGCAGTGGCCCTGCTGGAGCTGAGATGGAAGAGATGAGGATGGGAAAGGGCAGCACCCAGTGCTTCCCCACCTGGGACATCCCCACTGGATGCTCCCATGAAGGATGCAGGGTGGCAGGAGCAGACTGGGATCCCTCTTTCCTTTTTTCCCTGTTTTTAATCCCCTTGGCACCCCAGCCAGGTGAGGTGTGTGTGGGGGGATGGGGTTGCTGTGCCTCTTGGCCACCATTTTTGGGAGGTGAGAAGCAGTGGTGTCCTAGGGAGCCTTGTGCCAGCTCCCCGTGGTGCCCCACGGAGCTTTTGGAGGACGTCTTGAGGGTGATGGCTCTGGGCCATCCAGGTGCTTCTACCCTCACCTCTCATCAGAGAGGCCCTCGGGGAGATGGGGGTTGCAGATAAGGGAGTGTTTTCTTCCTCTCGTGTGTGTGATACGGGAGAAAACAGCAGCTTCACAACCTGCCAGTGTCCCAGGGCAAGGTCATGTCCCCTGTGGGATCCAGAGCCGGAGTGGGGTGACAAGCGCCGAGCGGGGCAGCTGCTCCCTGGGGATGGAGAGGCAGAGCTGGGGAGGTGGGTCCCTGGGGCCTGGGGGCTGGTGGCTGTCGTTGGCCA